TTTGCCTTTAGAAGGAGAAGATTCAAAGCTGTGTTGGGTTGGTGTGAGGCTCTTTACAGCCCCCGGTGTCTCAGGGCTGGCTGCGTGGGATGAACTGGGCTGGGACATGTCCTAGCCAGGGACAGCTTTTCTTGGGGAGGGCCGGGGTGGTGATGGGACTGTCGTTCCCGGTGTGCCATACCCTGCAGCTGTACCGGTGTCCTGGTCCCACGTGGGGAGAGGCGTGAAGTGCCTGTGTGCACCAGGCTGTAGGTGGATGTGTCTGCCTCAGCGTGCCCTCTGATGCAGTACCGTAGGAAGGAGTTGCTTGGGGTTGCTCCCATGCTGTTGTCCAAGGGCACTGAAGGTGCCAAAGCTGCACCAGTCTGAACTCTCTCTCCCTCCTGTGTGCTTAAATTGCAGGTCTGTCCAGTTATAGACAGGTTTATCTTTCCTCCCTGCTATGTTAACTGTTCCTGATGCTGGGTAGCAGATGATTCTCCCTGGCCTCCTGTCTTCTACCTGTCTAGCGATAGGACGAGAGGCAATGGCCTCAAGTTGCATCAGGGGAGGTTTAGATTGGATATTAGGAAAAATGTCTTTACTGAAAGAGTGGTCAGGCATTGGAACAGGCTGCCCAGGGAGGTGGTGGAGTCCCCATCCCTGGAGGTGTTTAAAAAACGTGTAGAAGTGGCACTTCGGGATATGGTTTGGTAGGCATGGTGTTGTTGGGCATGGTGTTGTTGGGCAGATGGTTGGACTTGATGATTTTGGAGGTCTTTTCCCAACCTATGATTCTCTGATTCTCTGAAGATCGCTTGCTGAATAGCTTGGTTCCTTTAATTAGGTCCCTCTTGGTTCCTTTAATTAGGCCTCTCTTCCTGATGGCTCACCAGGATGCTGTTGGCAAGCAGAGGTGGGGTCAGCAGGCTGTTGTGAGGAGAGTGGCGACCGGAGAGGGCTGGCAGACAGCCTACAGACAGCTCACTGTGTGTGATGGACCTGACTTCTCCAGACTGGTGGAGACCTGCCCAGACTGTGTCGCTGGGAAATGACAGAAAGAAGGCAACCTTGAATTGCTGATATCTCAGGTTGGTCAAAAAGTGTTACCCTGGGGAGGTGCAGCAATTCTTATTTTGGTGTCTGGCTGCCTTAGCAGCTGTTTCACTTGCCTTGATAAACCCACCTTTCTTGTCGTATCCAGTGGACTCGCTTTTCTTCTTCCCACATCTTGGCAGCCTGGTTGTGGTGTGAGTATCCCACATGCTAGGTGCTAGCAGGCTTGCTGTGGAGAGCATGGAACAAATTGACCCCCAAAACCTCGATTTCCCTTGAGTCCTACCCAACGCTCAGGCCTCTCCTGAGGTCTGTGAAAGTCCCTTTCAGCTCGCCCAGTGCAGCTACCCTGCTGTCTTCTTCAAGGCCATGCAAAACCTGCCAAGAGAACCTGCTCCTGCTACCCTGAGAACCATTTCAGAGCGCCGAGCCTCAGAATTTAGCTCCAGGACTTGTTTCCCGTCAGCTCCCCACAGGAGGGTTCAAAGCGAAGCTGCCCAGAACACTGCTCTTTGCTGCACTTTTGAGTTTAAAAACAAATCTTTGAGTGCTTTTGCAGAAAGAATTGGAGGAATGGTGGCAGCTGAGTGGAAAAACATGAATGTTTTGAGTATCTTCGTCTCCTGTTGCTCCAGCTTGGAAAAATCTTAGACATCAATATATTTCTTGTCTTAAAAGGGGAGTTCAAACCAGGGCACCTCTGTGAAACAGCTCAGGTTAGAGTAAAACCAGAGTGTTTTGATTATACTTAATTGTAGTAAAAATGCTTTGACCAGCTGTAGTCAAAGTGCAAGACTTAGCTGAGCTCTGCAAACTGGCTCAGCACTGAGGGTGCCTGAAGGGCAGTTTTTTGGTGATGAATGGCAGAGGAGCAGCTCTGGGCCTTGTGCGGGAGGCTGGGACGCAGGCTTGGATGGTTCCAAGGCTTGGATCCCTTGGGTGAAGGAGGATCTTTGCTCCGGTGCCTCTGTGGGCGAACGTGTGGCAAGGGAGCCGGCACTGGAAGTGGGCTTCCTCTTGTTCTTCAGAACATCTGGATGAGGCTTCTTGGGGAAAGGATGAGCCTGCTGAGCCACAGCCTCGCTGTTTTTGTGCCTTGAACGCTGGTGTGCATGGAGAGGGCTGGTGTTGGAGCTTCCCAAGGCACACCACCAGCCCACTCCGTGCGAGGTGCAGTGCTTTCCTCTCCTTGCTCTCCCCTGATGACACTGTCAGGCACGCTCTTCTGCAGTTCAACAGCTGTCTAAGCCCCGAGAGACCTTTCCCGTGCGTGTGTGTGTCTCGTATTTCACTTTGATCGCAACTGCGCTTGAAGAAAATCAAGATTTTTGTGTATGGCGTGGGAGGGGCTGTGTGTTGGCTCCGTACTGCGCCGTCTGGGTGGAAGGAAGTTCAGTTAAACCTTTGTTAGGCCTTGGTTAATGAGAACCCAGAGCTCCTTTGAAATAATGCCTTGCTGGTGGCATGATTCGCATTAACGCTGGTGCAGTTGCCCCAGCCAAGTCTGCTTTGGTGGCTTTGGAGGTGTGCACGGACTTTGAACCTCCTGGGAAAAGCCACGTCCGTTGGCTTTACGTGTACGGTCCATAGTGAAAGCTGGTAGCACTGGGAACAGTCAGCACGCGCCGTTGTGACAGAGGGTTCCTGCCGGTGGCTTGAGACCCTCATCCCAGAAGAGCATGTCCATATCTTCAAGAAACTCTTGCTGTGCTTTAACTAGGGCAGTGCCACCTCAGCTTCTCGGGTACCATGGAAAACAGGGCCCGTGAACCAAGTCGGTGTGGTGTGAAGGCTTTAGATAAGCATGGATCTGCCTGTCTTGGGGGTGCTCTGCCTCCCGGGTGGGAATGGCTCCAGCAGTGGGAGCAAGGCTGAGGACTGACCCTCTATGTGTGCACGTAGCAGCTGTCCCAAACCCGTGCTGGACTTCCCAGGCTGCTGAGCGTGGTCATGGCCATTGCTGCACTGGTCCTTGCTCGGTGGCTTCTCTGCAGCCTCCTCCAGCCCCGGTACAGCCGTGGGGCTGGGACTGCTCGCTCGGGGTGGGCAGCGAGGCGGGTGCGTGTGCTGCTGGCACGGTCACCTTTGGGTGCTGCGTGTCACCCCACCGAGGAGATGGAAGG